ACTGACAGAAAATGAGAGGTTTTTGGGAGTTCTAAAATTGTTTATGTACTCAGATAAACTATATTTGTTTGTCAAGAGCTTTGAAAATGAAACATAAATTTCGATTGATAACGAAGAGCTACATCCAGAACGCAACGAATATCTATAAATACGCAGATACTTTTACTTTGGCCTGATGGAGTTTTGTAGCCCTAACGCATGCTCTTACCCATACTTTTTTTCCTGTGTAGCTACTCCCGTTTCCTGTCTCCAGCTTCTGTCTTTCTTGGATGCTTTGGCATGTTGCACATTGTTTGCCGCACTGCAATTGTTCCGCTCAGTTGAACCGGGGACCCCTTTAATCTTTCGCCCCCCGGCTATTTTGAATTTTTATTTTAGCAAAGTTTTTTCATTTGCTCCGGAGTAAGGCGAAATTCCATCATGTCGGCTAAGGTTTTCCCCACTTTGACTTAATGAATTGCAAGCGATTTCCAGAGTTGGCAACATCTGGGCCAAGTAATTTGTAGAGCAAAAGCTAAGTGAATATTTTCATATGTGCACCATTCTGGTAACTTACAAGCTCAATTATGCGGTAGCAAAGCCATACATATATACTTGGATTTCTGTTTATAGAATCCAGGTTCTATATGTATAAATATATATTTATGTAGTAAAGTCACCCTTGGCAGCCCTCCTGTCAATTTAGCCGGGTCATAAATTTCAATTTTGTACTCGTTTTTTCGGGTAATTCGAAGTCGGGGAACTCCAGAGCGATATCTATGCGGGTTATCTTCGGAGTGACGTGTGGTTATCGGAGGAATGGAATGGAGTACTATCCCAACTATGCCATAATTTGCTTTAGAATGGTGTGAATTATTTGTTCGTTCTGTCTGGCTCTCCCGTTCTCCCTGCGCATTCTCGTGTCGAGTTTTTATGGCCTGGATTGTTGTATCTTAATTTTCCTTAATGGCTTATTATGATCCGACTGCAGTTGGCTTTATGTTTATGTTTGCCCTGCGTGCCAAACGCGTTGCCACCTTTCCACTCTAAATACAGATAATTTCGTCTGATTGACAATTGTTTCTTCTTTTTCACATCGGTTTTTTCGTTCATTTGCGATAATGATAATAATGTGTAATAATATTTATTTCGATTCCCGCTCTGCCGACTGTCCGTCATAAATCGTGATTATTTATGGGAAATGAGATTTGTAGTGGCGCATTAATTGTCCGTCCGTTGTCCGTTTGTCCGCTCGTCCGTCTGTCCGTATTATTCTCAATCTCCGGCATTGGCACGATCGGAATTTGCAGCCCAGAGGATTGAACTCATTTCCACACGATGACATTGATATTTGCTTTAATCTGCAGCACTGGCTTATTATAATTATATACTACTTATTTGCAGATAGAGCCGCTTCTGGGGGAATAACGATTATAATTGAATTGTTTACTTGAAAACTGCGCTCTTTAATAATCTTTGCGATTTTGAAGTATTATAAATAGCATTTCCAAAATTTTAAAGGTTAAAAGGTAGCACAGTGTACTTTGGGATTGCTATCTCTTCAGACATATAAAACTGTTTTGTTTTTGCGTTCTATAATCTTCTGTTCTATATTTGCTACATATTTTCTGTATAATGTTTTACCATAATATTTTCCTGCTTATATGTCATTGTGTAAGACCTCATGAACCCGCTGCAAAACATATTTTTTGTACATTGTCGTACCACTTGATGGTTAATTCATCTTACAGCTCAGTGAGATTAATGATCTCTCAATTGATCACCAAGATTTATGAGCATTAAATTGATCAAACTCATTTGTAACTCGTTGGCTTAGGTCTTTAAGTCCTTGGTACCAAATTGATATGTCAGCTCGTGGACTGCGGGAGGGCAACAGAGCTCGGCCCAGCCCAAAACCGAAAATCCAACTGGGATGTCGATGCTATGCGAATGCTTCGAGCGATTCGGTTCCAGGGAAGTGAGCTGTTATGGGATGTCTTTAATGCCCATTGACAGAGCGCCGGGTGCAGTCCAGTCGACGAAAACAACACGGACTCCAGCAACAACATCAGCGACAACGCCACTGGTTGTCTAGTTAAAGCTAAAGTTAAGGCGAAATTCCCCCTGAGAAACAAACAAAAGCGCAGACGATCGATCGACAAAGTACAAACAAAAGGCATGCCACAGGGTCTGGAGGGGGGTAGGGGGCCCTAGCCAAAGGGAAAATGGAGGGGAATCGGGGAGGGGGGGCCTGGTACCACCCAGGAAAATCACGATGACGAACTGATGCCTGGGCAGATACAGATACATGGCCCGCAAAGGGAAACAACGACAGAGGCAACACCTCTTGTTAGTTTTACTGATCATGATCGTGACAGGGGTGGGGAGATGTGCCGAATACACTGTGCAAATCTTTGGATTAGCACAAGCGATTGCTGTCTTGAATTTATATACACATGTAAGCATTTTTTGTTTTTGTAAAGACTTATTTTTGTGATCGCTTAACTACCTTTCATAGAGAAGCTTAAAAGCTAAAATGATATGAAAATTGCGAGAATTCACTTTATTCTACTCTGCACTACATGTACTCACACCACATAGTTTGAGCAGTGTATCCTTGCGAGCCCTGCCCACTGGACAAACTGATTGAGGCACGAACGGCCGAACTCCTTCGTGGGTCAATCATCGGGTTCCAACTTGGAGCTGCAGTTGGAGTTAGCGTCCGAGTCGAGTTCATGTTTCACAGTTTGCAAATAACTCTAATCGGGCTTTGCTGCATCGCTGTGTGGGTGCCTCCCGCCTTCCCCTCGGCCATTTATAACTGCCCCTCCCGGGGATCCTGCACTTTCCGCCGCTTTTCGGATCTGAACAAGCCATGCATTGTAAGTTCATTAGCGGCCCAAGTGCACGATTCGCTTGTTGTTGGGGGCCCGATGTTGGATGGATCGGACTGTACTGCTCCCTTCCCCAACCTTCCCCGAAATGCATATAAACATGAGATTTTTCTGCACCTCCTGGCCAGACTTTAATTTCTGATACCCTCTAAGGCAGTGTGATGAAGCGGAGCTTGAATCTTAAATTGGGAACTCAAAACTTGTTACTGGTGTAAATACTAACACTTGACCCAGCATAAACAACTTGCTAAAACTTAAAACAGTGCACATATACATACATATGTACGGAACTAATCATGATGCAATGATTACCTTTTCGTTGCCCAACTGTTTAAATGACTAAGACATATAGGAAAGCTGGGAGTATGGTATCCCATATCCCACGGTATCTTAGGGTATTATCGCGTCGTTCCCCAAGCGCTGTGCTTGCAGCTTGTTTATTTTTTGCTGCTTTGGCATACCTGGGAGCTCCTCCTAACTAACTAGGCAAAATCACTCATACTTGCAACCACACTGCACCACATGTGGTCTAAAGAGCGAGGAACCGGCTCGCCGGGCGGGCGATGGTGCGGAGGGGGAAGGGAGGATGGGGCAGTCTTCCTCTTCCTGGGGCACCCTGCAGCTAAAAGAACGGGGTGTATTGAACCGCAGCGAAGGCGCAGCACAACAATGAGACCAGAGTCAGAGCCAAAAGTCAAAACGTGAGCCTGGATTGCAGGCGATCTGCGTCTTCTTCCTCTTTCGTTCTTCGGCTCCCCCTCTTTTCCAACCTACCGTAAACCTGCCGGGACCTGAAAGCTATTTTTTTTCTTTCTACCTTTTTATCGCTCTTTTAGCAAGCCAACCGACGACGCTAACAAGGCAAGAATAACAACAACGGGTCGGAAGAATGATCGAGAGGGGTTTTCAGAAGAGTCGCTGAGCGAGGGAGAGGGAGAGGGCTAGAGAGCCCACGAGAGAAACGGAGCTCGTGGGCTGACGGCGTTATCTGGTAACAACGTGTTACGAATTACTTTTAACAAGACCCTTAGCAGATAAAAACCAGAAAACCGGTCGTGAGAGATTGAAGCCGAGCCGGGAGAACATTGTGCGAAAGAGAAAGAGCGGTAAGCCGGGAGAGAGACTTCGGAACTGAGAGCGTGTGTTTGGAACGTGCGCTCATTAGCAAGGTGAGCACACAAACAGGAAGGAATTGCAATTAAAGCCTGGCTGTCGGTGTTGCTGACTTTTTCTCGAGGGGGGGAAGGGGGAGTTGAGCACCCTGTATTCCCACCACCGCCGAAGAAAGTCAAAGAACTTGCTGAATTTTCAGCAGCGTGCACTGGAAAAATCAGGGAGAGGAAGACGCAGAAAGAGAGAGTGAGTGAGAAACCTGAAAATATGCCAGACAACAACAGATGCGTCTGAAGAACTGGGTGGAAAAGGGGCCGAAGGGCGGGGGGCTGGAAGTGGAAGGTTGGCATGCGAAACGCAGCACATGTGCAGCGAAAGAGGAAGAGCAATGTTTGGCGAGGGGTGGGGAGAGGGGGTAAAAGAGAAGGACGAACAGCAGCGAGAGGAAGCGTGGCTGTCAATCCAGTCAGAGATTTGTCACCCGGAGAGAGTGGACTATATTTCCACGGGGGTTGGGAAAACGCAAGTGGGTTAAAAAAGGAAAACAATAGGCGAAGCTAACGAAACTCGGAAAGGACATACTCAAGTAAGAGTAAATAATATTATATACAGAAAGTAAAACATTCTGTTTGAAAGATACATCCTAAAGAAGTGAATTGTAGAAAGAAGAGCTACAAATAATTCAAAATATAAAATCAAAAATATGGCCTCTTTCCTGATAATCGTATAAAATACTCAACAGGAAATCACCTTCATAAAAACCAATTTACAGCGGCTGTAAAATCACCTTAGGAAAGCTAATGTAACAGCAAATGCTCCATTAAAACATGAGTTCCTTCCCGTATTTATTTGGTTTGTGCAAAAAAGTAAAGAAATGCAGGGCAAGGCAAACAGAAAGAAAGCAAACCGTAAACAAAACATTATTTTGCTGCATTTATCGCATGCTAGAGAGCTCTCTCCCGCTTACTCTCTCTCTCTCGCAGTCGCAATCACTCTTGCCCTCCCCCACAATGTATACCAGCGAGCGAGCTCTGACACTCAGTTGGGCTCAGTTCTCTTTCGACGATCGGAGTGCTCGGTTGTGCGGACGGAAGACTGTCGCTCGAATCAAATCAAAATAAGACTCGCGAGCCACAATTGCAGTGTTGAAACGGCAATTAATCAATGAAGAAAACGTATTAATTTGTATACAAACACCTCTCTTTTGTGCGCAAATCGAAAGCAGTGACAATCAATCGAAGGCATTCGTGAATAAAAGAAGTTTCTTCAAACTGCCACCAAGTGGCGTCCTCGAAAAAGCGACAGAAAATACAGAAAACGAGTTATGAAAATACAAATTGTGGCCGTGCCATGTGAGAATGTGTGTTGAAAATTGTTATAAAGAAACAAGATTTGCTGTTCGTTGTTATTGTTGCCATTCCGATCTGTGATCGCTGATCGACAAGCGTCAACTGAAATTGGATTTTCGGGGCTCACCTTTAAATATATCTGTTGGAAAACACACATCCCACACCGTAACACCGGAAAGATAGCGACAACATTTGGCGCTACATGAAATATTAATTAAAAAATCTGTCCGAAAATAAAGTAGAAATTACTTGCAGTGGCAAAAAGTTTCTATGAGAACCGGCGCACGTATTTTTATGTACATCTGTGTATCCGTCAGATACTTGCTGTGATATCCGTGTGTGCCTGCATCTCCAGGTGTTCGTGCACCAGTGTGAGTGTTTGATGTAAGCAGACGTGAAATTGGATTAACTTTGACAGACGCACGGCGGTTTTTAATTACCACCAAAGAGTTTTCGGGATTAACAGCGGAAAGTTGGACCAGCTCCCCAGGTAAATATCATCTACGAGGGCGGAGGGGCCGCGGATTTCCATTACACTGCGAGTCAAAGATCAGTTGCGGGAGATCCGTATAATGGGATATGCCAGCCAGTCGAGTTCGGGGCGGGAAACCGATCTCCGAAAGGGGGAGAAAACTCTGGGGAAATGAACAACTCGGCCGAATGGATATAACACTTTGAGAAAATTATTTTTTCCTCAGATCGAATGCATTTTAAGCCTTTCTCTTCCATATGGATATTTCGGAGAATTGCGTTTCAATACATTGAATCTTCCCAGCAAAACAGTATAATAAGCCTGCAATTCTTAATCCGCTTCTAAAGCAGCTTTATACCTACCAAATAAAAGGTATTCTCAATAGGGTGCTTCCAAATAAGATTGAGCAGTCCTAAGGCCCTATAAATCTCTGTGGGAACTGTGTAGTTGATCCATTTCAAATAATACAAGTCCGGAGGGTCAAAAGCTCACTGAATGTTTAACCCCAACAACAGTTACACATGGTTATTTTTACCGGTAACGTTTATTCGATCAGCCACCTTATCTCTGCCGACTTTCTGTTCGACGGGCGTTTTGTTTACTCAACAACAGAAATTGCGGCTGCTACGTTCTTTTTTCGACAGTTTTCGTTTATTTCAATCGAATCAATATTGCCGTCGAATGAATGGAACACTACCACTGCCAGCCGAACCAAACCGAAATCTTATCTCCCGCGCGGGAAGGGGGGAAAGTGGGTTTGGTGTCTGGAATGCGTGTGTGTGTCTACATTATTTCATTATTTGTTGTCAAAGTTTCGGCTGCCGCGGCAGCGACTACCAGAAATACTGCCATGCCATCGATAGAGCTGGAAAATCAGTAAAAGGAAGGTGGGGGAGTGAAAGAGCCGCTGATTGCAGGTGCTGGCTCTGCTGACTCTACCTGGAAAAGCTGCAGTATGTACGAGCAGTATGTCTCTGGTACTCGGCTTAATCTGTGATCAAGATAAGCCATTGCATGTCGATCGCTTCGTGTTCGAGATCCCAGATCCCCTAGATAGTTATAGTTTTCCCCTGTCTTGCACTCCTGCCTGCTTCTTTCTCTGCCGGCTTTCTTGCGTCTGTGTGTGGAAAATTATGTTTCTCTGCGGTCATAAATTATGCGTAACGCGACACCTTCGTCTACAGGTTTCCAATGTGTCGTTAAATATTTTATTTCATTTTTATAGCTCTGCCATTGGATTTCGCATGAAGCGACTGGCGGAGGACTCGGATCGTTGGGGCCAGAAATGATTTCATTAATTCTTCAGTTAACAACAGACGCTCCCAAGGTTAGACCCTCTTATAAAGGCAAAGGTGTTGCCCCAACTGCCCGCCAGAGCCTGCTAAAAATATCAATTTACATACCGAGACCGAGGCACAGGGACATCATGTGGTGCTCCTTGTGCCCAATGCCCAATGCCCAATTCCCAATCCCAGATTCCCCGATTCCCGGTTCTCAGTTCTCAGTTCTCGGTTTCTCCGGGAGAAACGGGGCAGCCCGCACTTTCGCAATTCGAAAAATTGCGCTTTGTCACACAGCAAACGACTTTCGGCCGCCTGCTGGGGCGACACTCAAATGCCAGGCCGTGCTGATTTTCTGTTTGGCCGGTTGCTCCTCTCTGCTGGTCGCAACTGCCGAGTGTTGCCTGTTGACTGGGCACAGTGGTGCCAGAGCGTCCTGTTTACTGATCTGTGAACGGAATGAAAACCTAAGTAATTACTCACCTGACGCACTGGCATTTTTTGACCGATGCTATTGTACCAATTCGTGATTATATTGTTTATATTATTTTTAAGCGGCTAAAAGAGTGCATGAGCATTTTGTAATAACTCTAGGTCTTATTTTCTTTTGCATTCATTGCTCAATATTTCCTTGACCACTGTGCCCGTTGACCTCCCGCGGCTTTCCGGCATGTCTGGTTGTCTCGTTCTCGGAGTCTTCCCTCCTCCACTCTGTGCCTCAAACAGGTGATCATTTTACAAACGGTCCTGGCTACCTGTTCCCGCTGGTCCCGCTGGTCCCGCCGATCCGAGAATCCCGAAAGTCGGCCATAAATTATGTTTTGTTTGGTTTTTGTTGCTCGCTGCTTTTTGTCTCCTCCAGTGGGCTTGGCTATAAATTTCAAGTTGACTCTTTCCACTTGTCAAAGTCTTTTCATTTTCGTGGTGCCTGACGGTTTTTTATGATTTTTTGGGGCCTCTTCTTTGGCTTAGTTGTGACTGGGAGAGGATTATCTCGTTTTTTTAGCAATCCGCTGCTGCAAAAAGCTGATCGACAGGCGCATTGACACTCGGCCAGTCAGTCACTCAAGTCAGTCACTCAATTCAGCAGGGAGACGTCAGTTGACTTGTCACTCGCGACGGGTTTGTCAGTTTCGTATCCTGGTAACCGTTTTTCGCTGATCAGCAGTGATGGAGCTGTCAGCTTAGGCGCTAATGTGCATACTAATGTCGGATGCTTCGAAGGTTTATGGCCAACCGATGGGGAAGTGGCATCGAAACTATTTGCAAATGTTCTGGGATTAATGGTGGTAGCAGACCAACAGGTGCTTGATCTTAAAGTTGATTTAAAGGCGGAGATATGGTCGTCATTCTAATAATTCAAAAAAGATCTAATACATTTGTGGATACTCAAAATTTAAATAGGCAATACTCAAACACATGATACAGTACAATGAGCAAATGGATACACATAATTATAGTTTAGGCTCAACAATGTGGGACCAATGTTGTCATATCATACTCAATTTATTGAGACCGCAATCATCAGCTGCCACATGTGGCTTTCAGGTCCACCTTTTGCCTGTTCCACCTCCGATGCCGCTGGCAATTTGTCCGCGGGCATCGGCATTATGCGTTCCCGTGATCATTTACCGATCTCGTTATAATTATAAAACCCACAATTGTCTCATTGCGGGTATCCTCTGTCGGAGTCTAATCATGTTGAGGCCCGGGCAACTCCTCCAATGGGCAACCGATAATTTACGGACAACCTGAGCAACGGCCCTCGTAATTATAAAACCATTTCCCCCTCCGTTGCACTGGATCTGGCCCTCATTTTCTCTCTGTACACACGGCTTGTTTAAATAACACCAACATATTGATTAATTTTCGAGGCCCTGCAGAAGACGGGACTTGACATGGCTCGGATCGGGCCAAAAAGCAGGTCTCGAGTCGTTCATCAAACTGGCCCAGTCAACTCAGGCCCCGTGCTGCAATTCATCAAACTGCGGGCCAGAATGTGTTGCCTTCTTCCTTGTTTCGCTGCACAGAGAGAAATGTTAACTATACATTAGACATTAAGACTTGAAAATATATAACATTTATATTCTCCTTAACTGGAACTGATTGAATTTTTAGACTGCACGCCTTTCAAATAAGATCATTGAGTATCTCTGTTCGTCATCAATTTTTTTCCCAAGTGCCCTCTGGTTTTGTTTTGCCTTGTTTTGTTTGATTTATTTTGCAGCTCCTTCAATTTTCCCCATTCAGTCATATCATTAGGCTTCAGGCTCTCTCTTTGCCCGGTTCTTTTTTCCAATTTTTGGCCCCTGCCCGTTGTGGTTAGCGGAGGAAAACCGAAATCAATTTGACATGATTGCCACGGATCATAATTTTTTTCTTTCTCTTTTATTCGGTTGGTTTCTACGGCGCTTTCATTGGACCCCGTGTTTTTGGTGTGTGTTTGTTTTGAATATTTTGTTTGCCGGCTATTAGGTTTTGATTATTTATGAGCTGAACCCATGGGGCACACACTCGCCGCAGAAAACAGCTCATGGCTCGTTGGAATTGGCCCGGCAATTAGCCAATACAAACGCCTCCCCAGCCGAAAAACGATTATTTGTTTTTAAATGAAAAATCACCAAAAATCACAGAAAAGCTTGAAAGACAAAAGAGGATCATCTTTCGGTTTCTTTAGATCTTGGACTTTTTTTTTGTATTATTTTCGCATGCCAACAAACTATTTGTCTTTGGCCAACAATCAAGCTGAAATTGCCTTTTAATGGCAGTTTACTTATTTATTTGTTTATCTTGGCATATCTTAAAGGTTTGCCAACATTGAAGGCAGCTAAAAACTAAATAATACATGCAGACTCCCGACCAATTTATCTTTTATAAATTTTTCAATAAATTTATGGCTCTTCGTTCGCTTTTTGCTTGCGTTTTTTCGATTGTTTACGAAAAACATTTATTATGCATAGTTTGGTTAGACAGGCGAGCAAGCTATCAATTTTTCACCTTTCGTATCTGGCAGATACATCAAACAAAAGTTGAAACTTGTTGCCTGGCTTGAGTTTCGGGCTGTTCAGACTGGGTGCTTGCTAACTGTGTCGCTAAATGTGCTTTGCGGTGTTGTTGGGGAGATAAATTCCATAAAAATCAACAGCAACACACTCTAAAATCGACGACTACCTAAGCAACAATAACAATGAGAAATGAGAAATGACAAAGGCAAACGACGACGACCACGACGACGCTATCTTAGGGAGAACTGATGATGATTTATGAGCGTCAGAAATCAAGTAGAAAATTACGGTAATAGAAGAACACAAGGCAGACTGCACACAGATACTTACGCACACACACCGAACTGAATTCAACTCATAGATACGTATACGTGTACGTACCTACCTAAATTTCAAACTTTACTCGAGAGGTTAGCACAGACCACCGAAAACCGAAAACCGAAAATACGTACAAACAAAATCGACACCGTTCGTTGGGCAATTTTAACTAGAATTTATTTCGAGCTTGGGCAAACAGAGCCCACATGAAAAAACGATAAAAACATGTTTGCCCCGACTATTTCATTGGGGGGAGATATTTTTAATATGCTAATTGGCAATGCAAATATTGAGCTAGCGCCTGCTTGAAGCAATTTGCATTTTATACGAACAAAACCGAAAACCGAAGTGTCGGTTATAAATCCAATGGCACACTCGCGAGTGTGGGAGAATAAGAATCATACGTATAGCCACATACCATATTTATGGCATTTTTCCTTCGTCGGGCATCAGATTCGCTTTGAGTCTAATTCATTTAGCAAGACGACACCTTGTTAGAGCCCTGACTTATGACGGGACGTGTGGGGATATTTTCCAGCTGCCGTGTGTGGGTTTTAGCTGGAAATGTAGCGACTAGGTGTTAATTTTGTTTGTTATTCGAGCCAGTCGACAGTGGAGAGTCCCCATTCCCCAATCCCTAGGAACAAATAGTTCCCAAACAACACGAACAACGAAGAAACACAGATCTAAAATGAAAATTCCTATTTAAAATGAAAATTAACAAGACATGCGGGCGAGTGTAGGTGTTGGAAAAATTGGATGGAGACAGGGAACAGGCCTCAACAAGTGGAAACTATCCAAATGGAAATTATCGTTGGGGTCTATAAAAATGTATTTTAACAAGGGATCGAGTGTCACGAATGTAAGATTTCCATTTCCAAAATGATATAGTTATGTTAAATGCCTACTTAAAGTCTCAGCAAAATTGAATATTTAATTGAGCCCATAATAGATCTAAATCAATTTCTTGATGCATTAAATTCTTATACTAGAAAACGAAACATATGAAATGCGTTTTAATCGAAGTGACTCACAAGTTCATTAACGCAGACCAAATGGATTCCTTAGATTGGCTAAGATTTGCTGGTCTTCTTAGAAAGTTTCCCCATCACATCCTTTTGATCACTCATTCCCCCAAAGAATCAAACGAAAACAAGCCCAATGAAACTTATTTAATATGCCTTATATAGAAAGCAGTTAATTAAATCGACCCTGTAGGAGGGCGGCTGCTGCTGGAGCTTCCCTTGAAATCAGTTAACAAAAGCCCAAAGATAAACAGAGCCAGTCGAGGAGGATGCAAAGCAAAGGGGCACAGAAACCACAAAAAATAAAAATAAAACGAATGGGAAAAGGAGAGGAAAGGAAAGCAAAGGAGCAGAGCAGTCCCGAGTTGAGTTAAGTGTATAAAATGCACAAGTTTAAACAGAATTCAGATCGAGATCCGAGGAAGGAAGGGCGCGATGGGCAGGCATCATTAATTCTCACCCAAGTGTTGCACGACGAACGGAGCGTTTTCCTCAGCCCGCTGTGCATATTTCCAATTAAAGCGACTTGCAACTCTAATGAACTTGAAGATATCAATCTACGCGCTGTTAACCCTAAAAAACCGCAGACAGACGGCGACGAAGAAGTCCGGCACGAAATAAATGTCAGGCTAATTAAAAGGCAGGAAAAAATCTGCGGCTGCAATCGAGCATGCAATATTACTCATAAATTTCCCGTCCTGTCTCCTCTTCACTAGCAACTTTGTTTAGAGGCAGCAAATTAATTGAAATAGTACCAAAAATAGAAGTACGAACATAGGTTTCTGTTGCATGTTGTATCCCACAGATACGCATCTCTGGGATGCATCTACATCTACGCACATGTTCGCTCTCAGTCCACCTCCATCTTCATTCCAAATGGGAATGGAAAGGAAGCGCTCGGCTCGCGTTAAAGCAAACAAAAACATATTTTTCTTATAAACAGAACTCTGAACAAAATAATTTTATTTTCAGCAGGCAGGTTCTCCTGTATCTCAGTATCTTCTTTTTGCTCCACCTCTCTTAAATTTACACTTGGAAAAGTTAGGACTAAAGAACGGTGTTAAAAAATACTTATTTTCTAATTATTATTATTATATTTACAACTTCGAACTATAACATAAATGAGTCAAATTGTTTATATGAAAATCAAAAATATATTGTCACAATCCTTGTTTAGGAAGCCAGCTTCTAGTTCACCTTGCAAAACCTTTGATGAGTCTTTGTACAAACCATTTTCTCTCTCTGCACTTGAGTATCTTTTTGGGCTCTCGCATCGAAACATAATTAATTTCTGTTTGTTTAAGGTCTGCGCCTGCGACTGACTGTTGTTTCCTGCGACGCGATGACGATGGCGATATTTGCTTTTCTCGGGTCGGAGGGAAGGGTGCTGCTCCTTGAGATTCATTGGAATTTCAATTTTCAAAAAACGATACTCCACACAATACATATTCATTGTCGTGGCTCGGCGTCGTGTTGGGCATTTAAATGCCCGCTCATAAATTTGTTTTCTGCTTTTTGCAATGTCATAAATTAAACATTTTCGAAACTGATACGTTCTGCCCCTCCCAGTGACTGCCTGCTTTGTTTTTATTGATCATCAAGTTGACATTCGCCGGAGAGAAAGAAAGATCGGGACAGTGGGAATATTTTGCCATAAATTATGCGCCTAATTAATTGGCCTACAAATTCCAATTTCTTCGCCCAGAATCTTTCCCAGTTAATTAGTCAGAGACTGAAAAGCGTTTGAAACCAGTCTTGAAACTTGTATCTTCTTTATTTTCCCTCAGCATGTTGTTCTTTTATGTTAGTTGAATTTCAGAGATTTTGTGTGTCGCAGATTTTTAACTTTGAAACCACATTCAAATTGAGCTTTTCTTGGAAGTGGATTTGTTCAGGCCTTGGAATTGAATAACGAATAATTTCTCAGATTTCTTAAGCATAAGATTTATAATGACAAGCTGGTTTTACAAAGAATTTTAAATTAACAACTGCGCATCAAATAACTTTTGGAAGTGTCATAAACATTCTTCTGAGCTCAATGAATTATTACTCTAAGTTCTTCGTCTTTTCTTAAAAAAATTGCATTTTGGGTTACTTAGAAGGAATATTTTGCCTAGTTTTTCGTATATGCTAAACAACCTTTGGCAAAGAGACAAGAATCAATAAGTGAATAAATATTTCTTAAAACAATCTTAGATAGTTTTCTAGTTTACCTTGAGAACCTACTAATTGTGAAACAGCCCATTTCTAATATAGGTAATACCCCAGACAACCAAAAAATAATTAACTTCAAAAGAAAAACGACATCTCTTACCCACATTTCGCCATGATCTCCAGTCATATCTCAATTAGGCAAGCCAGAGGAAAACAAAGAACGCAAAAGCCAGAGGCAGACGTTCATAATTAAAAAATTGTCATTTTGTTGTCGTTTGCTTAACTTTATCTGCAATTGGTTACAGCGGAGATTACACCTGGCAAATTGTGCGGCGGAGGTGGTAAATCAAAGGCGGCGAATGGTGGGCCCACAAATACTCGACATTGTTGCTCCTCCGACTTATCTCAGTTCTCTTGGCTCGGTTTGGTTAGGCAAATCTTTCGCGGCACTCCCACACTCGCACTTTCGGTTTCAGCTTCAGATACAGATACAGATACAAAGTACAGATACAGATACAGATACGGGGGCAACCTCTTCTGCGGCATTTTATTTGTCACAGGCTGATTAAACTTGCATTATACATACACATAAATATATGTACAAAGAGTGCCGTTAAAGCAAATAACAACAAGGCGCGCTCTTTAATAAGAAATAAAAAAGGATGGAGGGAGTGAAAAAAGTTAATTAAATTGTAAGCGAGTGGCTGCCTCCTCCATTGGCACACACGCAACTTCTTCATCATCCGGCGAGTGTCTGGCCCCTTAATCCCGTGGCGTGATTAAAGTAGTCCACTTTCGGCTAGGCCCAGGGATAAGGCCCCCGGCCATTTTCCATTTTCCGCCCCACCCACGCTTTTCCCCCTTATTCCCTTATTCCGTCGGCTTTTCCTGTTTGCTCTTTGGGAGCTGCTGCTTTCCCTCTGTTTTTCTTTCGTGGCTTCCCTGCTTTTGAAGTGCTGCCGCAGAGACAACTGCAATTGTTCCTTAGCCGCCCACAAATTTATTGTCCAAATATTAATATTTGCCCGGGCACCCAGAACATAACTCAGACCGCAAATTGTGGCAACTCTTTCCTTGGCTCTTCGGCCAGCTTGTAAATTATGTCGCCAATTTACATTTTTTCCAGCAGACTTTCTGGCATAAGCCCGTTTTTATGCTTATTGCATAATTAAGTTATTCGGCCTTTAATATTTTCTAATTATACCAGATTTATACACTTTTATATACTTTTTTTATGACCGTTTTTTTTACGATTAGCAACATTCGGCGATGCTCCAAGTCTCCGCGCGGGGATTTTGCTTTATGAAAGTCGCCAAGCTAAAGCTTTATAGCTGCATCTAAAATCATCAGTAATCAGATAACTCATCGTACCTCTTTTTGCATCTCATTCCAGCTGGGCGGAATCGAATGAACCAGAAAATCAACCAGAAAGCAGCTAAAGCAACGGAATGGAAAAAATGGTAAGTAGAGAAATTATTGAAAAATGGCTTACAACTTAAAAGTAGTTTTAAATTGTATATAAGGGTTGTTTGTATAGGCTTCGTCTTTTTAATTTGACAATTCTGGGCAAAGTATTAGCTTGGCTTAGAAGGTGAAGACCCTCCTTCCCTGTAATTTGGATCTCCCTACTATTTTGCATAGGAGAAGGCATCAGCTAGACAGAGAAATATAAATAAGAGGCCAGAAAACTTGACCTTTCCCCCGCCAAACACTTTGCCTCTTGGCTACTTCATTGCGCTTAGTTTGCCGCACAATGGAGAGCAAAATGCCAGGGCCCTCTATTTGTGACCCGGCCAGTGCAATTGACCAAGGAGCCGAGGAGCCAAGGAGCCAAGGAGCAGGAACCCACTGGTAGTCGGCATCCAACATCATAAACATCCTCTTCGTCTGCGGTTGTCGGCAGTTACTTTTCAACGCCAATTTTGCTCTTCAAAACGAGCCATCTCCTGGTGCACAGAGAGAAAGTAACTAGTAACTAGGTCATTTCACGATGTATTGGCAAAAAACACATTTGCTACATACTTCTTCAGAAGAATCATTCGACATTTGTAATGACTACTCTTTGATTGGAAGTTCTTAAATTCATCATCAGAGACTAGAAGAATTTTTCCCCTGTGTACGACTATTCTTTCGTTTGAGCCTGGTTTTCTGGTTTCGGCTGCCGTGGGCGATGCATCTTCAGACGCGACTTGTTGCCCCATTGTTGGCTCACCCTTTTGAGCGGGAATATGGGAACATGGTTGAGAGAGCGGGAAAGAGAGAGCTGCATCTGAATCTTGGGGCAGGCATATCTTTTGCCACTTTAACGTTAACGAGCTGTTGACTTCTTTCTGCTTTTGCCGGCAGTTGAGTTGCCAAGTTCTTCAGCTCGACTCCTTCTCTCCCTGCACAGCCTTCATCATCATCTGGCTGCCAGCTTTGCCTATCCATCATTCTCTCATATTTCCTTTGGCTGCTTTAATGCAAAATATCCTGGCAAGCCTTTCAGTCTAGTTGGCTTCTCGCCGTCTCTTTCGGCCGCCCTGCAGCCGTCTCTTTCGTCGTCACAACTTGTCTGGCCAACTGTCGAAGCTTTTTGTTGATATGGAGTGGTTTTTTCTCCAGACACTGTTGTCTTATTTTCGTTTGTTCAGGGCTCATTTGTTATGCGAGACATTTCGAAATGTTCTCGTAATTAAAACATGAGAATATTTCCATAAATACAAACATTGATTCGGCCAGATGGGCAAACACACTGCAATGACACATCATCATTCTCAATCCGTTCGCTCGATCTTCTGTATTTTTTGTTTACAACGCGTTTGCTTAAGCTTACAAATAACTAATTTAATATGCCAAACATGCAACGTCTCCCTTCGCAGCATGTGGCGCTCAACTCGCCAGAGAAAGATGGAATTACTCGGTTAATTGAATTATAATTGTAGACGGCAGGCAGCGATATTCCTAGCCCCTCTTCCCAGGTTTTCCCCACCAACTACTCCCTCGCGATGATCACGTCGATCATGTCGAGCAGTCAATCAATGTTCTAAAGATATTTTCATATTCTCGGTGCCAGCTCGTTGCTGAAATGTGTATATATTCCGTGTAGCCATAGGCCGAGTTCATTAGAAATGCCAGTGCAGTGAGGGATCTGCCTAGGGATGGGTTTCAGTTGGTTGGGTATTGGATACAGAAATTGTTATGATATTTATGGGTTAGGGAATAATAGGAATGCGTATGCGTTGCACTAGTGATACAGGAAAGATTAATCATTTATAGAATGGGTGCCTCTGTTATCCAAGATTCAATTAATAATGAAAACGGTACCATCCAAAAGAAAACTAAATCTATATATACATACGAGTATATAACTGAATTTGACGGCAACTCGAACTTGGTTAAACCGAATCATTTGCCCAAATCAGTTTGCACCTTTCGGTCCCACAATTGCCCCTGATTCAATTCGATTGAACTCAACTTTTATGGCACGTCGGCAATGGCGTCAGTGTAAACAACAGTGGGCATCCACCTAAGGCGGATCACGCGCCGCGAGGTGGAGGGCAGGGCCACAGTGGAACCACCCGTTGAGTGGAGGAGGCTGGAGCGGACTGGAGTGGCACATCAGCCCAGCTCATTCGACATCCCTTCGTGCTGTTTCCTGCCCGAAAAACACGCGCTGATTGCTCGGGCTGTTGAAATGCGCTTGGAAAAATAAACCAAGAGCCCAGGGAAAAAGGCATAAATTATTTGATGCAACAAAACCCCGCCCGTCCCCGTGGAAAATTAAGGTGACCATATGTGGCCGGAGGGCACCCAACTGAGAGCAAGTGAAGCAAGAAAAACAGTTCATAAAATCAACAAACAGCAGCAGCAAAAGCTGGAGCTGTACAAAGATCCACAGAAGCTGAAGTCGAGAAGTGGGAATTGGAATAGGAATGGGAATGGGAATAGAAATAGGAATCTCGAACAGCATTTGAAATGCCATGCAGGGAATTCCTGTGTTGCTGTTCGTGTTTCAAATAAACTTCGAAATGCATAAATAGTTTACAACAATAACAGGGAATCAACAGCAGCAACTGCAGCAGCGGCAGCAGCGTTTCCTCGAGAAGAAAGAAAAACAGGAACAAGTGCGTTGATTGCAGCCAGCCGGCTGTACTTTGCAGTGGGAGTTGGGTGGAAAATCGTGGAAAAACTGCCAGAGCTGGGCGGGGAAATCATGTGGGCCGAGCTATTTTGAAAGCGACTGTCGAGATGCCGAGTGCAGAATGGAGAATGGAGAATGCAGAATCGGGAATTCAGAATGCAGTTGCATCTGCATCTGCAGCATACCAAGAGTTCATTGGATCCCACTTCCTCTGTAGCGAATTCCCCCCAAAAAATGCTGCTCATTTACATTATTTGTGTTGTTCAGCTCATTTGATTTCCCTGAACTGCGACCAGAGGGAAATTAAAGCGTTAAAGGGAGTATATTGAATAGCGAAAAACTCAATTCAACTACACTTGTTCGAGACCTTAAACTTTCATTTAAAGCTACAGTCCCCTAGTGAAACAAAGCCCATCACAAGGCTTTATTTCTAAATTTCGTATCAGTTTTTCAGTTTTATCTGCTCACGAAATCGTTTTCCATCTGCGTTTAAAATAAAACGCAAACATATTCCCCCGGCCAATTGTAACCGCTTTGCAACTTCAATTTCTTGTTACAAGTGCAACATTTTATTAACCCTCCGGCGGCTCGAACAATTTCCCTACATATTTGGCGCTTTGGCGTCGTAAATATTTTTATTGCATGGCCATAAAAAAGAATAACACGAACAGAACGAAGGAAAAAGTGCAATAGACTATCAACAGTTTCACGCCTTCCTCGGCCGTTTGCATACTGGCATGTACATGCGAATATCGGTTGATATTTTCCGTCCGCTTCGCTTCTTTGTTTATGCCACACATGTTACGCCTACGAAAAACTCGTATAAAACTCTGGGGGAAGTAGGAGTAGTTCTAGGCCCTGTCGCACGTCCCGCAGGCCCATTGTCTGGCTTTGAGTCGGAATAGGAATCTGAATCTGAATCGGTATCGGGATGGAGTTCAGTCAAGTTGAGTCGAGTTGCCTCGCTGTTGTTCCTACATTTGCGAGCCATATGTGGCATGAAAATGCTAATGGGGAAACTTCGCTGCTACCTACCGGTGCTGCACTGGAAAAAAAAAACTAGTACTAATGCATATAGAATGAAGGATTCTTGAATGTGAAGTCGGAACACAAGTCATAGCACACCTTTTCTTCAGTGCTGGGTTCTATTTATATGGCAGTCTGATACCTATGTAAGTTGTTTGTCTGTCAATCAAATCCACAAATTATGCGAACAACTTTGCGTAGGCTTATTCTCCATACCGCGTTCAGTACATGAAAATCAACATAAAGTTGCACGAAGTATTCAATGTAGTATATTAATATGCGCTTATCGAGGAAAACTTGACCTGACTGACTCCTGAAATATTCCCGAATATTTGAGTTTCAGAATATGAAAGCTGAATGACAGCTGCGGTTGATACGCGCAGTACAAAGTTCATCTATCAGCTAGAAATCGGAATTCGGATCCGTATCAAGAGTCATGTGCTGTCCACTTTCGAACTTTTTAGGGTGGCGGCATTTTCCCTTTGAAATGCCACAAAGTGCCACAAACAAAAAACGCTGATAAGCCCGCGATTTATTTATGATTTCGTTCGATTTGGGGCCTGATGCTTTCATAAATTTAAATTCTACAGTGGCCAGTGGCCCTGGCGTTTCAATTAAGCAATTGTTGTAAATTGTATTTCGAGTTTTCCGATCGCTCTCACTACTTCCTTTGACCGATATTGATATTGATACGAAGTGATATATGGCTGGCCGAGCAGCAGCCTGTGCATCGATAAGATTTCCGTGTGCCTGGCCAAAAGAAATTAGTCAAAGTTGGAAGCGCTTGCATGCAAATTATTGTTATGGGCAATTTGGCCATTAGCCACAGCGCCATAAATTATAAACAAGACCCAGAGCTGCCGAAGTCGCCGAGATGCGAGATGCCTCATTGAAATTCCCCTAGCCGAAGGCTGAAATCCAAAAGCCAAGAGCCCGGGGGAAGACGCCTGCCTGGGACATGTGCCTCGCATTTCAGATTTTCATCCACATCCACATCCATATACACTAAGTATACTCGTATATGCCATGTATGCGTAGATTGAATTTGGTAATTTGTGGTCTCGCATTGGTTTATGCATTTCCATTCGATTCGGAATTGGACTGCAACTTTATGGCTTGAAGAGGGTGCTAAATTAGTTGGAAAATATTTGGAAATATGTGTCGGAGCGGGGCAACCGATGTTTGTGGTCGGTTTGATATTTATAGAATGTCTTTCGCCTATATGTAAGTTGATAAATTAATCAGATTTCTAAACGATACTCGGTGGCCTGACAAATGTGCGGACTATAAATCGATGTGTTTATTATTATT